TTGTCCTGGTTTCTTCTCTTGCAGATTTTCCTCCATATCTGTAGTGGAAACAATGTAACTTGTTAGTAAATTTCTCGTGTTAGAATAACCCTGTGGGAGCCAGCTCAGTCCCTTGGCAGCCAGATGCAGCATGGGTTTCTCTCCTGTGGTGTTTCTGTCCCTTACTGTGTCTGTTTGCTGGAGAGGGTACTGGCTTGTTCTGACTGCTCTGGTGTCCATCTCTTGGCTTGGTATTCTAGCTCTGCTGGATTTTGCAAGAAAGGGCAGGTTCTTATTTTTCAGTCTTGTTTTTTTCCGAAAGCCTCTGAATGGAGTACTTTGGGCTTGGAGAATTAGAACCATCCCTAAATCATCAGCTACATGGAAGTTGATTTATTCTCCAAATTATAAAGAAAATACAGTTAAAGTATATTTTGATATACTAAATAAATAGTTTGATTCATCCTTGCTCATTCTAACATGGTTACATATAAAAGGGCCTACTCCTAGTTAATGATTTGTTTAAGAAGCATTGGGTTAATGTTTCAGAGGGAACGACTTGGTACTACTTTGTGTTCAATTATTGCTTCATTGTTGAAATTCTCAGGAATCTTGAGGACAGATAGGCCAGTGTGGATTCTGGGTTAGATAACTCTTCAGGTACCCAGCAAGCTTCTCACTAGACATCATGTACTTTGGGAATGAAGGCTTGTGTGAGATAAGGAGAGAGGCATTTTACAAAGAACTCCCATTCAGTTGTTTTGAGAAATCAGCTGAGTGGACTTCCCAGCCCAGTGTCTCAGGAACACGCAGGGCCCTCCCGGGGAGGGATGGTAGCCGCCATCTTCTTCCTGTTGTGGAGGGAGAAGGGGGAGGTGCCATCTCTGGCTCGAGAGTCAGTCAGCTTGAGCTGGTCCTGTTGCAGTTTGGCTTTATGTCACATGTCGTCAGCAAATGGTGGTGAGGGGGCTGAATGTGGCAGCATCTGCCAGCCTGCCCGGCTCGGAGGAGGCCAGGAGGGTGTCTCTGGATGGCTTGGATGAATGGATTTGGCCTCAGCTGGCGCTCATGCGTGCTGATTCTCCACCTTTGATACGCCCCTGTCTACACCCCATCCCTAAATATTCACATGCCCTGACCCTCCTGCCCTTCAGGGTTTCCTTTATGGTCCTTTCCTCCTTTGGTGGTCAAAGGTCAGCTTTCTCCCTGGCTGAGCGCCTCATCCTTTTCTTCCCTTTCCCTCCCCATCTTTCCTCTCTTTCTTTCTTGCTCTTCTTTGCTCTTTTTGTCTTTCTCTCTCCCTTTGAGGTTTTCATTATGGAAAAGTTCAAGCCTGTACAAAGTAGAGATAATAGTGTAATGCCTCCCCAGGACCCCACCCCAGCCTCAGCTGCTCTCAGTCATGGCCAGTTGGTCACATATCTGTAACTATGTATGTGCCTTAGCCCCAGAATTTTGGGATATCTCTAAATATTTTAGTAAGTAATTTAGTAATACCAAAAAAGCAATGTGCTTTGAAAAATTACTAAAATATCATCACACCTACAAAAATTAACAACAGTTTCTTAAGACCAAATATTCAATCAGTGTTCAGTATCCAGGATAAGCATCCAAATTTCTTTTTTTTTTTTTTTTTTAATTTTATTTATTTATTTTACTTTCTCCCCCAAAGCCCCAGTAGATAGTTGTGTGTCATAGCTGCACATCCCTCTTGTCACTGCATGTGGGACGCGGCCTCAGCATGGCCGGAGAAGCGGTGTGTCGGTGAGCGCCCGGGATCCGAACCCGGGCCGCCAGTATCAGAGCGTGCGCACTTAACCGCTAAGCCACGGGGCCGGCCCCCAAATTTCTAATTATCTTATAAATATGACTTTAAAAAACAAGGTATTGCAATCAGAATTAAAAAGAAGTCTTTACATGGTGGTAGGTTGATATGCCTCCTAAGTCTCTTAATGAAGGTTTCCTCCCTCCATCTTTTCTTTTCCTTGAAAACACCAGGTCACTTACCTGTCTCAGTCAAGGGCCTCATGGACTGGGTTTGCTGATTACACCCCTGCGATATTGTTGAAACACGTTGCTTTGATCATTGTATTTCCTAGAAATTGGTAGTTGGATCCAGGTTCGATTTAGGTGGTGGTGCACGCTTCCTTCAGGAGCACGTTGTGTCTGTCTTTCTGTGCCTTTAGGAGGCACTGAGGGTCATTGATTGTGTCCACTACTTCATCAGGATTGCAGGACAGTGAATTCTAACCCCATCATTCCTTCCTTGTTTGCAGTACTAGCTGGAGTACTTCTCCTCATCTACCAGTGCTTCCCGCGTTACAGTTTCTATGGGAAAGGCAGGCTAACCGCTTGATTCCTCCCTTTATTTACTGCATTTCACAGTAATAAAGTGGTTCACTAGTGTCCTGATGACCAGTTATTCTTTTACCGCAGCTGTGCCTTCATGGTTTGCTGTGTTTCAGTCTACTATAGTTGTAATTCTCATCAGTACTGATCTTGTCTCAGTTTTGGTTGTGAAACCCTCTTCAGGTTTCTGAGTCCTTTGATGTGACCTAATAAAAAGTCTTTGATAGCTTCTTTGCTGTCAGGTATGAGAAGATATTCCAGGCTCAACTTGCACATTTCCTGGCATTTCTCCAATATCCTGGTTCCTTTTAATGGGATGTGGAATTTAAATACCACGACCTGGGTGCTGGGGGTGCTCACTGTTAATTGGACAGAATTAAAAAGGTTTTGTTTTTAATACATTGTGAGTGATACTTCATAGTGATACTTAAAATTCAAATTCAAGATGATAAGGTGTTTGCCTAACGTCTTCAGTCTTACATCGTTTTCTCACTTTTCAGTCGTGTTGAAGACCCCAGTCCTCAACAACACTTTGAATGATGGAATTAGAATATTCTTTATTAGTTGATGTTGCTACTGAAAAGGTTAATGATAATCTAATTTTCTTTTATAAAGTCGCTTGATTTTTGCATAGCTATTCAAAGGATTTTTTTTCCTTTTCCTTTGAAGTCCAAGAAATTCTCCAGAATAAATCTTGACATAGGTCTTTTGGGGTTGGGAGTTGATGTTTTTAGATACCTGATGTATTCTTTCAATATGTAGTTAAAATTTTTTTTTTTTTTTTTTAAAGATTTTATTTATTCTTTTTTTTCCCCCCAAAGCCCCAGTAGATAGTTGTATGTCATAGGTTCACATCCTTCTAGTTGCTGTACGTGGGACTCGGCCTCGCGTTGGACGGAGAAGTGGTGCCTTGGGGCGTGCCCGGGATCCGAACCCGGGCCGCCAGCATCAGAGCGCGCGCACTTAACCGCTAAGCCACGGAGCCGGCCCTAAAATATTTTTTTATTTTAGGGAAATTTTCTTAAATATAGTTTTAATATTTGCTCTGTACTTTTGCTTTGCTATTTCTTTTCGAGGACTTCTATTATACATATATTAGATCTTCTTTGCCTTACTTCAATATTTGTCACTTTCTCTTGAATCCTTTTAATCTCTTTATTCATTTATTTTTAAGAGCTTTATTGAAGTATAATTTATATGCCATAAAATTTACCCGTTGTGAGTATACAATTCGGTAAATTTTAGTAAATATATAGAGTTATGCAGTTATCACCACAGCCTAGTTTTACAACATTTCCACACCCCAGAAAGAGCCCCCGTGGTGTTTGCAATCAGTCCCTGCTTCCACCCCACAGTCCAGGCAACCACTGATCTGCTTTTTATCTCTATAGATTTGCATTTTCTGAAAATTTCCTGTAAGTGAAAGCATATAATTTGTAGTCTTTTGTGTCTGGCTTTTTGATTTAGCACAATGTTTTTGAGGTTCATTTGTGTTGTAGTATGTGTCAGTATTTCATTCCTTTTTATAGCTGAATAATGGTCTATTGTGTGAGTAGGCCACATTTTGTCCGTTCCTCGGTTGATGGATGTTTGGGTTGCTTCTGCCCTTCACTATCATGAATCACGCTGCTTGCTGTGGACATCTGTGTACACATCTTTGTGTAGACATGTTTTCCTTTCTCTCGGATAGAAAGCTAAGAGTGGAGTTGCTGTGTTGTATGGTAAGCTTAGGTTTGACTTTTCAAGAAACTGCCAAATGGTTTTCCAAATTGGCCAGACTGTGTTACCTTCCTCGCAGCAAGGTACGAGGTTTCCATTTTTCCACATCCTCACCAGGACTTGTTGTTGTCAGCTGTTCTGATTACAGCTGTTCTAGTGAGTGAGACCGCATCACGGCCTTAATTTGCATTTCCCTAAGGACTTATTATCTTGAGCGCCTTTTCAGGTGCTTATCAGCCATTTGTATATCTTGTTTGATGAAATGTCTGTTTAAATCTTTTACCCATTAAAAAAATTTTGTGTCGTTTGTCTTCTTGTTGAATTCTAAGATTTCTTTTTACCTTCTGGATACCAGTCCTTTATCAGATATATGATTTGCAAATATTTTCTCCCAATCTGTGTCTTGTCTTTTAGTTTTACTAATAGTGTTTTTCGAAGTGCAGAAGTTTTAAATTTTGATGAAATCCAGTTTATAGCTGGGTATATAAACATATCTTCTTTCTGAAGAGTTTCATTCTCTGTACCATCTGTGTGTGAATTACCCGGCTTCCTACGGATGATTTTTGACATCCAGGAGGACTCTGCGAGCTGGGAAAGCCTGTCAGATGGATGGGTGGGTCTATGCTGTGCATAATCATCTAGGTGCTGGCCAGAATAACACCTAAAATCTCCACACTCTGATCTTCCCACTCCAGAAGCATGGCTGTTGCCTTTTGAGAGCAGGGTCTTGTTTCCATGGTTCACCGTCCTAGGCGCTGCTGGCAGCTTCTTCCCTGTTCTCTGGCTGGAGAGAGTTGGTGGCCTTTGGATCAGAGGAGCTAGTGGCTCTTATTTTCAGCACCACAGCCTGCATGTGGGCTGCGTCTCTGAATGTGGTGAAAGGTCAAGTGCGTGATACACCCGCTCCAATTTTGTAAAGGCTCAGGTAACACATTCTCAATTGGCAATTGCAGGTGAAGGACTTAACGAAATACTTGGATCCCAGTGGCCTCGGCGTGATCAGTTTTGAAGACTTCTACCGAGGGATCACGGCGATCAGAAACGGAGGTGAGTCATCCCCATTGTGTGCTTCCGTTGCCTCCCCCTCCTCAGCTCCACCACAGGCAACATTTTCCTGTGTCATCCATCCTCCTGTCCATCCTACAATCCATCTTTTATTTTAATGGGATGCATTTCAAATCAGTATGCTTCCATACACTTCACTCTAAACATGTCAGTGTGTGTGTCAGTCATTACCTAGAGTTCAGTATTTGTTTGCAGTCTTTTTTTGAGTAAAAATTTACCTGCAGTGAAACGCACAAATCTTAAGTGTGCCATTCTGTGAATTTCGACAGATTCTCATGCCTGGTAATGCAACTCCCTGTCCAGAGGATTCCTAGCACGCAGACAGCCCCCCCGGCTCCAGTCATCCCCTCCCCCGCATTGGCACCCTCTTTGCTGGTGTCTGTCGGCACAGATTAGTCTTGCCTCCCATGGATGTCATGTGAATGAAATCTGCGCCCTGTGTTCTTGCGTCTGGCTTCTCCCTGTGTGTGGGGTCTTGACATTAGCCCTGTTGCGTGTGCCAGGAGCTAATGTTGTTCTCTGCGGAGTAGTGCTCCTTTGTGTGCTTGTACCACGTTTTGTTTATCCTTTCCCCAGGGGATGGACATTTGTTTTGGGCTAGCACATTTTCAGTTTGGGGCTGTTGTGAATAATGTTTCCAGTGACATGTGCGGACAAGTCTTTGTGTGAATACGTTTTCATGTCTTTGGGGCCTGTGCCTAGGAGTGGGATGCTGGTCGTGTGGGTGTAAGCTAGTTTCTTACAAAACTGCCAGATGCTCTTCAAAGTGGTCACGCCATTTCACACTCTCACCAGTTGCCTGCACACTCTCCTTTTCAAATCAAATTCTGAAGGTCTGAATAGACCCTTCTCATTCCCCATCTTCGGCCAGGTGGCGTGGGGGTGTCTGTGGCAGGAAGTCTCCAAAGAGCTTGAGTCCAGAGTCGCAAGCTCTTTCCTTCCTTCCTGCACCTCATTGGAGAAAGAGGAGGACCAGCAGACCTCAGCAAGACCCGCAGCCGTCGGCTGTGGCTGGGCCTAGGGTTGCTCTTGGCCCCGAGGTCTTAGCAGCAGTTATCGGTAGAGTCACTTCTTTTGTCTGTCCCCTTCCCAAAATTATTGCCCCACAGTGTCGCATAGGGGCCAAGTCTCCTAAAACACTGAACCCCCTTGGGGCCGGCCCTGTGGCGTAGTGGTTAAGGGTGCGCGCTCCACCGCTGGTGGCCTGGGTTTGGATCTCGGGCGTGCACCAATGCACCGCTTGTCAGGCCATGCTGTGGCGGCGGCCCATGTAAAGTGGAGGAAGATGGGCACGGATGTTAGCCCAGGGCCAGTCTTCCTCAGCAAAAAAAAAAAACAAAAAAACACTGAGCCCCAGATGGCTCTGACGAGCTCTCTGTGTATCCTGACTGCGTGTGCCTGTTTGTTCTCTCACCAGTCAGTCCACACACACGTGGTGGGCACCAGCACGGCCCGGGGACCCCATGGGGAACCAGCAGCCAGGGTCCTTGCGCGTCCAGAGTACACGTCGAGTGAGGGAATGGGCAGGGGAGGGGCCGCTGCTATTGGTGCGGCGAGTGGGGTCCAGGCTGAAGAAGTGGCAGGCAGCCCTCCGAGGAGGGTCTGCTCGCGCAAGGCCTGGCGCAGGTGAGGGAGCTGCCCCAAGGCCTGTGTGAGGAGCCGGCGGGCAGGCGAGTGGAGGGGCTACGGGGAGGGTGCAGCCACTTTCTAGCTAAGTGGGGCCTGTGGAGAGACCAGAGCGAGTGGGGTGGGAGACCCTCTGGGAGGCAGTACTGGCCGGGGCTGGGCGAGGTGAGTGATGCCGCCTCGGCGTGGGGATGAGGAAGAAAACCCTCAGGTGACTTCTGGATTTCCAGGCTGAGGCTTACGTGTCTGTGTCTGTATCCGTGTAACCGATAAGTTGTAATTCTTCTGTGATTTTGAGGTTAGGTATGCAATTAGAACACAAAGTTACTTAAACCTTCACCCTTTTGCACAAAGACTTTTGTGGTGGCTTCTCTTCAACCTTTAGCGCCTCTTGGTGGCTTCCTGAGTGCAGTGCGTTCACTTGGCCCACAGTGAGCACTTGCGCCACTTGCGCAGGCCTTCTGGAAGGTCTGCTTCTTCTCAGGTCCCCTGCCTGGGCCACTGCAGCTGTGCCCAGGACCCTGGGGGGTGGCTTTGTCCTCCAGCAGCTTCCATCAGTTAACCTTCGGGAAACTCTAGGTATAGGCTTTTTTCCCTTAGTTTTAAAAATCTAGTATAATTTCTTCTTTGACTCATCAATTATTTAAAAGTTATCTTAATTTCTAACTATTTTAAAATCTTGTCATTAATTTCAAACCTAATTGTGTGTTTGATGCTCAGAGGATGGGATCTCTGATGTGGGTTCTTTGATCCTCGTTGACTTTGATTTGTGGTCTACTACGTGGCCTGTCTTTACACGTGTGGTGTGCGTGCTCGGCAGCGTGCTCACTCTCTAACTGGGGTACATGGGCAGATATGTGCCCCACTCAAAGACTCCCCACGTGTGTCTGCTTGATCTCAGTCTCAGGGAGGAGTCGTAAGTCTCCCAGGCAGGGGTGGTGTTGCCAGTTTCTGTTTCAGATAGCTTCATTTTACCTCCACTCTTACGTAACAGATTGGCCGGGCGTAGGCTTCTGGGTTGATGGTGATGGAGCCTGGCAAGCTCCAGAACTGGTGGCTCATTAAGAAGCCTTCACAGCTCTGCCTGAGGGTTTAGGGGAGGGAAGGTGACAGGTGCATAGGGGCCAAGTCCCAGACCCCAGGAAGCGGTTGAATTGCTAGAAAACACAGGAGTGGAAGGAGAAGGAAAACGTGCTCCTACCGTACTTCTCAGCCCAGTAATGAACGGTATTTTACATAGTCATAATAATCAGACAAATTGCCCCTCTTGTCACAGGTGGTAACCCGTTTCCCTGGGTGACTGCAGAAACGCAGGACGTCGACCACAGTGCGCAGGCTGCGTGACTTTACGGATAGAGGGGACGACAGCATCAGTGTGTGCCCTGGGCTTAGAATCAAAGGGCTGGGAGGGGCCCTGCACCTTCCGGTGGGGTTGAGACGGCTTCCTCAGGTTTCTGGGGCTGAGGAGCCCAGATTCCTCTGAAGGGTTGAGGCTGGGAGCAGCAGTGGCAGCCGGGCCTGTGGGTCTGGTCAAGAAGGAGTCCAGGGCAGTGACCAGCAAGAGACGGTGCCGGGGCCATCCGTGTGCGTCTGAGGCCCTCTCTGAGCCAAGTCCACGATTCTGTCGCTGGTGGCTGGTCTGTTTTGATGAGCCATGGTTAATGCAAAATGGAGCAGGCTCAGCTGTAGCAGTTCCTGGGGGTCATGACCTGGGGTCCCAGCCCTCGACCTCAGGCGTCAGCATGTGCTCCTGGCAAACCCAGGCAGGTGCCATCCTGTCTGCTGTAGTCAAGTTCGCCAGCCGTGGACCTGCGGGCGAGGGGGAGAGCCATCACTCAGAGGCCGGGAGGGGTTGCCAGCTGCTGACCCCTGTGGCTGTCTCGTGGGTTGCATGTGTCTTGAACTTGAGTGACTTAAGGAGTGTGAAGATATTTATCAATCTGGTGAGAGAAAGTGGTCATCTGAGAATGGCCGGCCTCCCAAGTCCTGATCTTTCCTTAATGGTTAACTATGCACCCTGAGGCCCTGAGATGGAGCCTCCACCCGCCCCCACCACCCCCACTCCCTCCGTTTTGCCTTTGCCGGGGCAAAGCAGCAGGGGTGCTTTCCCATTGCAGCCGGGGTGCCCTCTGTCCTCCTCAGGGGTTGGCAGACAGGAGCCCTAGCCAAGGCCCTGGGGTGGGTCTCGGGGCTCTGCCTGAGAGGAGCTGGCCAAGGCTCTTCTGTCTTCACCCAGAACTCGCTCCAGCTTGCTCTTCCGTGTGGACTCGCCTCCTGCCCGGCCTCTCCTGGCTCACCTGGCCTGCTGTACCTGGTCTCTCCCCATGCCCCACGGTACCTGGCCCTCTGCATCCTGTTTGTGGAGGCTACAGCACTTCCTTCTCAATCGGGAGCAGCCCCCTTGGTGTCGCTTGGCAAAAGTCCTGTCTTGGACTGGCCCACACACACCGTTAAGCCCTATGGGGGTTATTTGAGTCTCATTATTTTTGCATACTTTTTGGGTAATATTTCCACTTTGATTTAATTAAAAGTAAAAACCTCCCAGCCAGTCCTGGAGTTAGCGTGGATGCTCCAGGAAGTGGTCCTGTGTTTTTTCAGTGGCGAGAACATTCTGGAATAGAAGTGTCCCCAGAGGGCACTGCTTGGTCTCAACATGACGCCACCTTGCAGGGTATGTTGCAGGTGGTGTCCCCTCGGCCCTGAGTTTACCCTGTGCAGAGCAGACCCCTGCTCTGGAAGTGAGGTGGCGGGCCCTGGATTCTGGGGGACAGTCTGCCGCTGGGGTTTGTGGTTGAGGGGGCTGTGGGCAGGGTTGGTGAGGGGACCCGGACAGCAGATGGGGCAGGGTCCTCAAGTGGGTGTGCTGAGAGGAGGCTGTATTGATGAGAGCTTGAATCAGGCTGGGGGGAAGGGGCCACAGCCAAGGGAGGGCACAGCTGAGATCCGTAAGGGCCTGCACCGTTCCAGGCTCTGGGGACACAGCACGAACAGGAAGAACAGAATACCCTGCCCTCGGGAGCTGGCTCTCCAGTGGAGGACAGCCCACAGACAATGAGGCAGGACAGCCATGAGAGGGGCAGGAGCTTGGGAGGGTGGTAAAGCCAGAGGTGGGCGGGGGGGGCCTCCCTGAGGAAGTCTGGGAAGGTGCGTGATGGGGGCAGCGGCACGTTGAGGGGCCTAAGGGAGGCCATTGTGGTGGGTTGGGCGACCTGATCAGAAGGTAGAGGTGAGGGTGCTGAGAGTGCAGCTGGGCTGTGGGCACCCTGGGGGACTTGGCCTTCTCGGCAGGAGGCCTCAGGGTCTGTCCCTGGCGGCTGGGGGTTGGTGGGTGGGGTGGCCCTGAGCTCCGCACCTGCTTGGCAGGACCATCTCTTGGAGCCGGCGTGGGCTTCGGGGGGGCAGCTGGCTTCGCTTTGCTTTTTTTGTCATTTGACTTTGTCATTTTGTTAGGTTTCCTAACTTTGTTCCTAACAAAAGTTTCCTAACTTTTGTTAGAAAAGAAGGGTGAAAATAAAATTGAATAAAAGCAAGTCAAAGGTGATTTCGAAATGGTTATTTTGTAGCATTTGGAAGAATGGGAAGCACGATTACCCAAACCGCATTTCAACTGCAGTTTGCCTCAGGTCTTCCCTCCAGCGTGCGTGGTGGCTCGGACAGCCTGTCTCCTTTGTGGACTCCCATTCTCGGTCCAGGAGTGGCATAGACAGTGACGCGTGTATTGACCCAGTTTGCAGGGAAGCACCAGGAGGTTTTTACTGCTACAGCCACAGGCCTTATTTCAGGAATAGAATGAGATAGAGAGAGAATTGTTACAAATAGGCCATAGTGCTGGCTCGCCCCTCCCCCAAGGCTCTGGAAGGATAAGATAAATGCACATTAAAAATTTCCCCTTAATTGAAAATTGTTGTGGTTCTTAGAGAGAAAACTGATAGAAGAAGCATATTTAGTTCCCATCAAGAATATACAAGCGCCGGTCACATTCATATCGCCCTCTCCACCGTGTGGGGCAGCACTCCTGGGTCACTTGCCTGCCGCTGGAATCGGAGCACGTGTCCGCTGTGTCTAAAATGATTGGCTGTTTTGAGAGTTTTGAATTCTGTGTTTCAGTTTTTGGAAGTGCAAGCAAGACTGTTAACATTCGAGAGGGGAAAGATAGGCCAAAGACAATCCAGCCTTTTATAAAATATGTGTGTAGTCTCAAACTGCACTGGCACAATTGGTCCTCTCCACTCCCTTGCCCCAGAAATCAGAAGCTGTCCCCAGCAGCCCTCTCCCCGTCAGGAAGAGCACACAGGGTTCTGCTGTGGTTCCTCTGCATCCAAGGCCCGGACCTCCCCAGCAGGTGTTCCAGGGCTGCCCGCTCATGCAGTGGGCATTGAGTGCCGGGTCCGAAGGCCAGTGCTGTCCATGCTGGGTCCAGCCTGCCGCACTGAGGCTCCTTCACTCCTGCCACAGTCTGAGACACTTAGCCACACTCCTGGGGAAAACAATAGAAAACAACAGCAATGAAAGCACCTACGATTCTTAGAGCAAAAGGCAAGCAGTCTTGAGTTTGCAAAGGCTCCTGGTAATAGCTGGTTCCGGAGGGTGTGGATTGGCACCATTGTCGAGGGGAAGCCCTGTTGTTCTGTTTGAGCCGAGAGAGCTCTCTAGAGACAGGGCAGCCGCGTGTCCTGCTCTTCGTGTCCTGCTCTTCTCTGTGGGAGGGTCCTTCAGCGTCCATGCTTCCTCCCCTGTTACCCAGGCTGTCGTGGTGACTTCAGACCACTGACCGTTCAGAACCTGGTGGGGGGTGCTGGGCGGCAGAGGGCAGCATTTTCCCCACGTGTGCAGATGCCAAAGGAGAGTGTTGTCTGGACGAGGAAACCAGCACTGACCATTTCAAAGTGCTTTTCCCAGGAGCGTCCGGGAGGCTTGCTGTCCCGTTTGGCTCTGAAAGACTCCACTCCACTTTTTAAATAGGTGATTGAGGTTATGTTAGATGACGTAACACTCATTGACGTGAGTGAGGACTGACATGAGGTACCTGGTGTACTTCAGATAAGTAATTACTGCTGTGGTCCGTTTTCTGCTCACCACGCTCTGACACGCCGTGTGCGGGTTTTCCTCACCAGCCGGTTCTCAGTTCTCTGCGGACACCACGTGGGTGTTGTACGATTTAATTGGTTCTGCCACCAGCTGCCAGAGTCAGCACAGAGCCCACCTCAGGGTCCCGGTCACCACACTTGACTACAAGTCGAGGTTCCCATGACCCCTCCTCAGGTTTGATAATTTACTCAAATGGCTCACAGAACCCAGGGAAACACTTTGCTCACTGTACCGGTGTATTATAAAGGACATTATAAAGGCTACACATGAAGACCCAAATGAAGAGGTAAATAGGGAATGTCTGGAAGGCTCCAGAACACAGGAGCTTCTGTCCCCATGGAGTTTGGGATGCGCCAGCCTCCTAGCATGTGGATTGTCCACTAACCCAGAAGTTCTCCAGACCCTCTCATTCTGGCTTTTATGGAGGCTCCCTTACGCAGGCAGGATCGATTAAGTCGTTTGCCATGGGTGATTAGCTCAGTCTCCAGCCTCTCCCCTCCCCAGGGGTCAAAGGTCGGGGGTGGGGCTGAAAGTTCCAACTGTCAAATCACGTGGTCAGTTCACCTGGCAACAAGCCTCCTCCTCCTCCCAGAGTCACCTGTTAGTGTAAACCCCGGTCAGGCTGAAAGGGGCTGGTTAGGAATAACAACAGACGCTCCTCTCACGTCAGGAAATTCCCAGGGTTTTAGGAGCTCTGTGCCAGGAACCGGGACGAAGACCAAATACATACTTCTTATTATATGACGGTATCAGAGTAGTGAGACAACACCGGGAAACATAAGCGTCTTCATCACCTGCGTGCACTTTTGAACGTGTTGTTCCCGAACACTGCTGGAGACCGGGTGTTGGGGCCTCTCCCTGCAGAAGGAGGGCTGCTGCTGTGGAGATGGGTCATGTTTGAGAAGTGGTGTCTCTGTTGCTGTCCTCAGAACTGCAGTCTGTCCATCATGAGAAGACACATTTTCCTTTAAATGTTTTCTTATTATAAAATAAAACATACACTGTAGAAGATAAAGTTAAGCAAAAAAAGAAAATAAAACTGCCCGTTAGTCTAGCACCAAGGACAGATGTTGTTATTTTGGTATTATTTCATCATACCTACACCTCTCCAAACAGACACAAATTTTTTTAAAAAATTGCGTCTGGTACCTGATATTTCCTAAAGCCGTCAGCTGCGTCCCAGAGCTTGGTGTCTCGCTCTTTTCCTTTTACAGTGCTGTCCAGCTCTTCTAAGAAACACACACTTGATGGTTCAGCCTCCACACCACCCCCTCAGAGCCCTGAGCGCTGTTCCAACGGGGACCCGCCTTCCGATCTACCCCTGCTGCTTTCTTCCCCGGGGTTTCCCACGGCCATCTGGGGCCCACTTGTGATCACCCCTCCCTTGGCCTCTCTGGGGATGGTCTGGGTTACCTGCTGAGCCTGGGTCTTCTCTCCGCAGGTTCCGATGGCCAGCTCTGCGTGGCGCCTGCCCAGGACGAGGAGCCGCCAGCCTGCCCCGACGAGTTTGACGACTTTGTTACCTTTGAGGCAAGTGGTTGTCAAGCGGTTTTCACGGGAGAGCTGAGGGAATCGGACGTTACACCTCTTCCTTTATGCGCTCTGAGTCCTGTGTCACTTAGTGTCCCCAGAGCTGTTTCTATAGAAGGTGGCTTGAAGGGAAGGGCAGGGCTTACTCTCCAGCGTGCACGCTGGTGCGGGCTTGTGGCTGTGGCAGGCGGCTGACATGGCTGGTCCATGTGCTATGCACCCAAGGCTGCTGGCAGGAGACCCCCCTCGGGGCCTGTTGTCCGCAGAGGGACGGGCTGTCAGTTAGGGCTCTCTGATGGCGTTGCTGTCACCTTCTGCCAGGCTGCCAAGCAAGGCCGAAGTAGGGGACACGTAGTTTTTGTTTTATCAAATTTCAAACCATTTTCTAGGTCTGGGGACGTTTGTTTGACTAACACCTTACCATCCTCCATCCCCTGCCCCCAGATGAAGCCGGGGTTGCTATAGTTACATGTGTCGCCCTAATTGTGGGTGTTTTGTCCTCTGCCGTGGCAGGGAGAAGGTCTGGGCACAGAGCCACAGAAGACAGGCTACTGTAACTGCGTCCCACAGCTGGGGGGCAGATGCCAGGAGAGGCCATGTGGCTGGATCCGGGATTTTTTCTTCTTTAAAAAGACACTCATCACCCAGAGCGTTGAAGAGCCATTGGGAAGGCGGTGGGGACTGCTAGCCCTCAGCCCTCCGTTTCCCAGCGAGGGGCTCAGGGAGCAGGGTTGGGCCTGAGGCCCCACACTTCAGTCCTCTGAGCCTTGGCTCCTTTGTCAACTGAAGGGCTGCACAGCATAGCTTCTGAAAGTCCCTGAGCTGAGCGCTAATGCACCCCAGGATTCCACCGCTTTCCTTTGGTGTCTCATGTCCCTGCTCTGAGAAGCTGCCCTGGGTATCTGTCACCCCTCACATAACGGAGGTTCACGTCCTGACTGTCTGTCGCTTCTGCCGGCACAGACCCCAGGCCACCTGGGAGCATTCACCCGTCACAGCTTTGTCCCAAAGTGCCAGCAGGCCTGAGCCCCCTAGGGCAGGGCCCACCCCGCCTTGCGTACCCTGTTCGGCTGAGGTCGGTGTGTTCATCCTGTGTGTGGCCCGGGAGTGCAGGCTCGGTCCTGGCGTGTGGAGGCCAGGTGCCCAGCTGGGACTCGTGCTGGTTGCAGACAGTGTGGCTAGGCAGGGGCCTGGGGTGTGCAGGACTCTGACATGTCAGCTTCCCCCATGATGGTGAAGAGGCTGCTTTTGTGGCTGAGATGGCCCAGTTCCCTTCACAGCGAGGCGTGGAAGGCCCTGTGCGTTTTGACTGACCTTGAGTTTTCCAGGAATGCACCTAGGTCAGGGGCAGATCCTTCTTTGCTTGTTCGGAGTGTCTAGGGAATCGTGTTCCCAGCAGCAGGGCCGGGCCGCATCACTTATGTAGTGGTGAGCATCAGGCCCTTCATCACGTCTCCCAGCAGTCAGGCCTGCACAGTTACCTACCAGCACATACGCTGTATCATCCGTGTCTTTTGTTTTATTCCTCTTATATTTCTGTTAGGGCATTACATCAATTATTTTATGTTTTATGTGTAGGTAGGTGTCATGGGTTGAACGGTGGTCCCCTAAAAGATATGTCTACCTGAGACCTGTGAACGTGACCTTATTTGGAGAAAGGATCTTTGCAGATGTAATTAAGGATCTCAAGATGAGATCTTGCTGGGTAGAGTGGGCCCTAAATCCAGTGACAAGTGTCCTTAGAAGAGAAGGGAGATGACACACAGGGCAGAAGGTGATGTGAGGATGGAGCAGAGGCTGGAGTGACACAGCCACAAGCCCAGGACTGCCTGGAGCCCCCAGAAGCTGGACGAGGCAGGAAGAACCCTACCCTGGAGCCTCAACTCTGCTGACACCCTGATGTACATTTCTGTTGTTTTAAGCCCCCCAGGTTATGGTAATTTGATATGGCAGCCCTAGGAATTGAATACAGAGTTTTGTTGTTCAGGAGGTAAAGAGGCATCAACACGGTTTGTACTTAAAGGGCCCATTTGGTCGAAAGGGTGAGAGCCACTGATGCGGGGCTGCCTCCTGAAGCCTGGGCTGAGTGGGTGGGGGTGCTGTCCCACCCTGTCCCCGCCTGTCCTCTGTGCCGGTTGACCCCGCAGCCCACAGGGGTATAGCCCTGCCGCCCCTGGTGCTCGGCCCCCGGGTTTTGCTGGCTTCGGGAGGCACGGTGGGACCTTGGCATTTCAGAGTGTGAAAGGAGTGCTTCTCAAGTTTCTGGATCCTAGTTTTTTTCAGAATGGAGGAAACATTTCTTTTTAAGTTTTTTTGTTACTTTAAAAAAATTTAATAAACTTTATATTTTAGCAGTTTTAGGTTTACAGAAAATGGAGCAGATAGTGCGAGTTCCCATTACACTCCTCCCACACGCACTTGCACAGGTTTCCCATCGTGAACATCTTGCATTAGGTGATGGTACATTTGTTATAACTGATGAACCAGTATTGATACTTTATTGTTAACTAGCGTCCACAGTTGACATTAGGGTTCCCTCTTGGTGGTGTACTTTCTCTGGGTTCTGACAAATGTGTAGGACATGTATCCACCATTGTGGTATCATACAGAATGGTTTCACTGCCCTAAAACCCTCTGTGCTCCCCTAATTCTCCCCTTCTGCCCCAGTAGCACGCGGCGGCCACTGACATTTTTACTATCTCCATATTTTGTCTTTTTCAGAATGTCACGTGGTTGGAATCATACAGTGTGTGACCCTTGCTGACTGGCTTCTTTTGCTTAGTAATATGCATTTAAAGTTCCTCCATGTCTTTTTTATGCTTTTTAGGGTTTTTAGATGTAATTTGTAATTTTTAGGGGAGTGGAAGTAGGTACTGTGAAACTTATAGAAAGATTGCTCTTTTTGTAAAAAAGCTTGCACGTCATGTAATCCTAAAAAGTCCAATAAATATATGAGTGGAGAATATGTGCATTAAATCCAAATATCATATTTGGAGATCCTGTGCTGGTGATCTTCGGAGATAAGTAAGCTCTTTATTGATTTTCTGGCTGGGCACATGACAGTGTTGGTCAGGGGTACCCTGGGCGGTTAACTAGGATGGACTGCTGCTCCCAGGTCCTTCTCCTGCAGGAGATGCCTCGGGGGCCCGGTAGCTCCCGGGTCCTCCTCCTGCAGGGGATGCCTCCGCAGCCCCTAGCTCCCAGTTTCCCAAGCCCTTTGGCTCTAGCTTGTAACAGAACTCCCAGAAGAAAGTTACCGATGTGGCATTTTGAGAAGGGGAGAAGGTGGGGGGTGAATTAAGGTTTGTCGCTGACATTCATGGGAATGGGAAGAAGCTCCTCGTCTGAGAATCTGAGCGAGGCAGAGGATGGAGTGTGCACATTTATCAGGATTTCTGGAAGGGCTATGGGAAAGTCACAGAGAGATCAGGCACAAACAGGGAGGATAACAAGTGTCCCTGCTGTGCCTTCTCTGTTCCTCCCTCCTTTTCCCACTCCCGGCATCTAGAGAAAAGAGCTGCCTTCATACAGTGGCGGGGAAATACGTTTTGTGCAAACTCTTTATCAGAAAGGTTAGAAAGTCAAGAACAAAAGCCATTTGTTTTGAGATCTGACTAACTGCTTGTTAACGACTCAACAAGGACACTTCCTGAACTTTGCCCCCTCCTTGGCCAGCACAGCAGAAGGTTTAATGGAGCGTGTCTGGGAGCAGGTTAAACTTTCTCCATGACAGAGATGTACCTTCAGGTGAACACGCAGGTTTTGCAGAAACCCCAGCAGGACTAGCAAGAAGGAAGGCTGCGTTGTTGTCAATTGAGAGAAGCCAGTCACCGGCCTGGGCGGAAGTGCCCACACTTCCGATACGATGGGGAGGCCATCTCCAAGAGCACGCCCTTCCTGGAGCCGGGGTGCAGAGGCTGCCTGGGCTAGCGTCTGAGGGTAAGAGGAGGCTGCACCGAGCGGGACACGGGCTCACATCGTTTCCAGCAGTCGATTTCCCTCAGAGAGACCACGACCTGGACAGTAGGGACCCTGGGCAGGGTTGGCCACACCTGAGTTCCACTCTGATGGCTCTGAACACGGACTTCCTTGTCTGTGCACTAGTGATCCTTTGGTGAATGGTGAAGGTAACATTAACACATGGGGAAGTATTCTAACCTGCACTTAGATTTTCAGCAAGTTCATTTAATGTGTGTCATTTATAAACATTTTAAAAGTGGGTAGCAAGACTCCTGGGCTTCTGGGCAAAGCTTGGTCCTGTCTGGTGGCAGATATGAACCCATGCAGCATGTCTATGAGCTATTCTTGTTTCTGTCCAGTAGACAATGGATGAGCGTGCACCATGCTCTGTGAGCTATTCCTGTGTCTGTCCATAGACTGTGGTGAGCCTGCACCATGCCCTGTGGCTGTCCCTGTGTCTGTCCGGTAGACCGTGGTGAGCGTGCGCCACGCTCTGTGAGCTGTCCCTGTGCCTGTCCGTAGACCGTGGTGAGCATGCGCCACGCTCTGTGAGCTGTCCCTCTGTCTGTCCGTAGACCGTGGTGAGCGTGC